TGATTTGAGGCTTTACCGAGTTACAGCAGCAACTGCTGCTGACACAAAGGAACAAGGCGCCAAGTAACTGTGCTTTTTAAAAAGGTTTATTTTAAATTAAGAAGAGCAGATGTCCGATGTTTCAAAAAGCCACACATTTGTGGATTTGGCTGACAAAGCCTCTAAGTTGCGTTTCATTTCTGTTCCGAGACTCAGAGAGCCACTCAGAACTGACTCACTCTCTCTGGGCCGCAGTTTGGGCCGGCATCCCAACTACAGAGTCTACTATCTCAGACCTCGAATCCAGGGTGTATGGGGAGAGCGGGGGCCATGTAAAACAACCTTTTTTTTTTTTTTTTTTAGTAGTATCAACACCCACACAGCAAAGCGTGGAAGGCTAGTAGGTCAAACAGTGAGCAAACAGCTGGCACCTGCCTGTCCCAGCGCTGCACAACTGTAAAGGCAATGAGTAAGCAGCTGTCCAGAGCAGGTTTCTGTTATAATCCCTCTTGTGAGTTCTGGTTCAGTATGCAAATACATGCAGGTTATTTGCTGCAGTTCAAGCCCTCATTCTCAAGGCAGAGACGTTACCTCAAGTGACCTCTTGGCCTTGCTGGAAAGGGAGGGGCCAGGAACCCCAACCCCTGACTACCAGACACAAACGACTCCATTGCTTTTAGAACTATAAAGAACATCATGGGCTTTCTTTTCTTGTTGTCTTTGAGAATAAAGGAACAAAACAGTTCACAGGCAGCAGTTCAGTGTAGCATTTCATTTACTATGTTTTGGGACTACCAGAGAAGCTTTGATCATGCCAGTTAGAGGTGGAATGTTACTCGGCTTTCAAAAATGGCCACTAAAACTCCTGCTTAGGTTGTCTTAACCTTTTGGGAGCACACTAATAACTATTTATCAACAGAATAAACCAATCTTGTGTTTTCCTCTTTTCTACTTTTTGGTTGTGTCGTGCGCCCTGTGGGATCTCCGTTCCCAACCAGCGACTGAACCCACACCTCCTGCAGTGGGGGCATGGAGCCTCAACTGCCGGACTGCCAGGGAAGTCCCCCTCGTGTGTTTTTCTAACAGGAATGGGACTTTCAGGTCTACTGGGGAAGATCTGGCAGGCCACCAAATCAGAATTTCCTTTTACTGTTTAAAACCTCTTGATACTTAGCAAATCTCACTGGATATCATAGATGGAGTGTTACCAATAAAGTTATTAAAAGCTGACCATTCCCTTTTTCTTTATCTACCTTCTAGACTTTTTAGCATTAACTACCTTTATAACAAATTAGAAAATGTCAACATTTAAAGCTGGTAAGGTTAGACCCTGGTAGCTTAGATGATAAAGAATCTGCCTGCAATGCAGGAGACCTGGGTTCAATCCCTGGGTCAGGAAGATGCCCTGGAGAAGGAAATGGCTACCCACTCCAGTATTCCTGCTTGGGGAATTCCATGGACAGAGAAGCCTGGCATGCTGCAGTCCACAGGTTCGCAGAGTCAGACTCAACTAAGTGACCCTTCTTTTTCCAAGGTTAGACAAGAATTTTCAGTTATTCATAGTAAATTTTGTGTATCTGTGCTTTGTACCTTAATTAGACTAGCTTCCCCCCCGCTCCCCACCTTTTGATAGGTAAGAAGCGGATTTACTTAGAGATGCACATCACAGACAATGCAGTCAGTTTCAAAAGCCGAGAGCCGCCGAGGGAGAAACACACTCCAAACCAAAGTGTGGGCCATCTCAGAAGACAAGAGACTTGGAGGCCTATTTCTAGATTTGAGAAGGTTTTGGTATTACTAATCAAGTCATTAGTTCATTAATTTCTGCTTTTCTCTATTAATTTGTATATTGGATTTAGTTAATAAGTTTTTTAGACAGAGCATATTTACTCCCAAACAAGGGGACATATACAGACAGCATTTAAAATCCTATTTTTGAAGTGAGCGAATGCACTGTTGTAAAATTCTCACATGTGTAGCAAACGCTGTCTTTGATGAATTAAAAAATTGCTAACATACTAACATTAACAGCTTCTTTACATTTTATCTGATGTAATCCTTCGGACAACTGGGCTATATTATAATCTCTATTTTTATAGATGAAATCAAGGCTGAGTTGAAAAACTTTCTCCAGGTCACATTATGTTAGAGGCAGAAATTTAAACCACTGTTAACAGACTAAGCACAAGGGTTTCAAAACATATGGAAAGGTTTTTTGATGCTAAAAAGATTGGGGACTCATGAGTTCTTTACATATGGGTCAAACAGAGTTCACCCGAGTTTATAAGAGGGCAGTTAGCTGTTTTATCCAGCTTCTTGCATAATTTGTACTTACTGGATCGCTTTGAGCAACAAGCCTCAAGCTGTCCTCCTAGAGCTAGAGAGCAGAACACACTGGGAACACACGCTACTCTGTATCCCTAACACACCAGTGTATTTCAGAAACATCACTTCCAGCCTTGTCTTTTTCTGGATTTTTAGAGAACAGATACAGAGGCCATTATCCAAATGAAAATAAAACTCTTGGCTCTAAGCTCTATACTCTGGGTTATGGTTATACAGAGAATACAGAAAACACTGCATGCTCCTACATGGCGTTTGAAGGAAGGTGCTCCTTAGTACTTGTGTATACACCTTAACATGTTGCCTTGTATTGTCATTGCTTGACATTCACCGAATTGAGGCAGATAAGATGCTGCAGATATTAAAGGCACAGAAGAGACTTAAACAAAACAGAGATGGAATCACAAGAATTCCCAGGCCCTTTTTTTTTTATTTGCAGGAACATCAAACCATCCATTTACAAATTTTCTGGCCTCCAATCAGCTGGAATTAACTAGGCATGTCTTTGGGATCGTGTTGTCTGTGTCCGCTTTGGTGGATTAAAGAAAGGAACCAACCAACCGCAGGAACAGAAAGGTAGCACGCGGCTCCAGCTGGAATTCAGCAGGATCACCTGAGCATGCCACACCTGAACACGCAGCGCAGGGAAGGAGGAGAGCTGCTCTTCATTTGTTTTCCGCAAGAGTGAACAAGCCACCATCAGAAGTCAAATGTATTATAATCACTTAGACCTTCAGCCTAAGGAACAAGGCTTTCTAATACTTTATTCCAAAATAAATTTATCAACAAATCCCAAAATCTAGTACAAACAGTACAAATCAGATTTGCTTTCCTCTTTCCTTTCTTCAGACAAACACCAAATAAAATGCAGGTGAAGGTGATGAAAGACAATGGGAAGCCAACTTAAGAGACTTACACAAACCCTAAAGAATCTAAAAAACTGTAACAGTTAATGTGAGTTTATTGTTGCTTTTCAAGTAACTACTGCTAGAAAGTTTCCAGGTAGGGGGTAAAAGATGGTTAAGAAGTAACCTTTCCAAAACTCACAAGACAGGTTGCTTGTCCTTTATTTAGTTTTGATCACACAGACTATCCCAATTTTGCATAAAATCCTCTTGATACAGTATTATGGCATAAAAGAGTCAAAGTGCCACTAGACCTAAGGAACCAATTCTTTTAACCATAAACCATGGTGCTGGGTAATGTTTGAATGGGAACATTTGATATGGATGGTCAGATGAAAGATACCAAAATGTCAGACAGCCCATCGACTGCTGTTGCCATGAGATTCAACAGTCAACATCAGTCTGATAAGCTACCCGACAAGGTGGTACAGCCATGGAGATGTCACGACGGTAGGCAAAACAAGCAGACATTCAGGCAGGATTTGATCAAACAAACCAGACATTTCTGGTTTGTTGAGATTTAAACTCAATTCTACACTCAACATAATGTCAGTACCAACTTTCCTAAAGGAGAAAAGTGAGACTATTTATCACCATGCCCCCCCCCCCCCGACCCTGCCCTGAGCAAAATAAAATGACCAAGTTCAACCAGAAACATCCGAAAGGAAAAATCACATAAGAACAAACACGAAAGAAAGGAAAGAAAATTAGGTTACAAATAAAAGTAAATTTCTGTCTGCTAAAATCAGAATACGTGCTGAGTTAAAAATTAATTGCTATGAGAGAGTTTTTCTTTTAAAACAGGTTATTTTTCTCTCCATGTCCTTTGATTTATATACTATCATCTCTCCTGTTTTCACAAACCATTAAGTCCCCTCCATACATCAGCACCTAAGGCGCCCTTTCAGCAGTGTGTAGCCAGCTGCCCAACTTCAACCCAACCAAAAAACGCCTTGGTGGTGGCCCTTTCATGCAAATAAATGAAGGCGTAAGAGACTGCGGCTGTGGTGGATATGGCAAGGCTGAATTTAGTTGGTAGAAGCTAAAAGGAAGTTTAAAAAAAAAAACGCTCAAGAAAATGGACACAATTTTGGAATGATCAAAGATGTATTTATAAAGTTTTTTCATGACTTCATTCTAAATATACAGAATAAAAAATGGTGTCAGCTCATTTGTGAGACACCAACAAGATTTTCCTTATACTGTCTCAAAATTGAAAGATCAGTTTCCCAAGAGGGTGTGCAATGCATCATAAAATGGCCTTTTTTCGAAGGTGAGAGAGGAAGGGTTGGGCAGGATGGCATATTAAACTTTACCATGATAGACATGCAAGACTGTTATCCAATCTAGTATGATTTATATACACTTTTGATGACTTAGAAAAACAAAGAAGTCATATTTGACAAGCCTAAAAAGCTTGAAATATTTAACATACTTAGGAATTCTTTTGGGGGGATGGTGCTTGGAATTCTTTAATTGTACCACGTGGGCCTTTGAAAGTAACAAACAGAAGGCCAGTTTCTGTTAACTTTGCTGCTCAACATCACATTCCACCCTAATAAAATACAACTTGGATTGAACCGAGGGTGGATTCCTTACCTTAACAAAGGAAAAGTATGTCAGTGCAAGATGTGGACTAAACTGCTTTCAGGGGGCAAAAAAATAAAAACTGACACAGGTTGGAAAAGATAATTTTCCTTCCCGATCTGGAGTCCTCCCACTTTAAGGCAGAACCCTTCCATTTTAATTTCTGCAGTTAAAACCTTTTCCTGCTTATTTGGTTTTCTCCTTTGGGTCCAACCGCTGCTGGATCCGTTTGGCATAACTTTGCGCCATGGAGTTAACGATGGACAGGACGAAGTAACACACCATTACAGCAACCAACTTCTCAAACATCCAGGACAACCAGTTTTCTCCCTGCAGGAAGAAAGGCAGAACAACCCACGAGAAATGCTTCATTAGTTTGGCTGTAAAAAGGGAGTCATCTACTATATTTTAACGAAAGTAATGAGAACTTGGAGCTTATAACCCAATAAACAATTAAAAATGAAAAGTCTTATCTCTTCAGCTACCCTGAAATCTACATTCAGGCCTTCTTATCCCCAGTTATTAAGGTTTCACTTTGTTAAAGTCAATGTTGAATACAGTTTAGAATGGCGTGTGAGGTCATTTCTTGTCTTTCACTACATAAAGTCTTTGATTAAATTCTACTATCTGAAGTCATCATGGGGATACCTGTAGAGAGTAGTGTCAAGATAGTTTTATATATATCCTTGTTCCAATATTAGGAGCAGCTTTTAAAATATAAATGTTATCCATTTCTGGAGTTATGTTTGGTCAACTGAGGGCAGCAAAGGGCCACATAGAGAGTTGTAAGGCCATTAAAAAAACCAACCAAACCAAACAACAACAAAAATAACCCTATGCTTCCTTCAAGTTCCCCATTTCAGGTTATTGCTTACTCATCCTCTTCTAGTCATTTCCTTTCTTTGCTACAGAACTGTTTATACAAAAGGCAGGTTTAGTTAAAGTTTTTAAGTTCAGTTATGTTAACAGCTTTAGTTTATTTTTTTTTAAAGATTATTTTTCCCATTAATGAAAAAGAGAGCAAAAACAGATATTCCAATGAACTCATTAAATCCAATACTTTGTTATGCTATAAATCTTAACTTTCTAATCCACTTGGAAAGTATACTTGCTACTTATAAATAAATCATTGAAGATCAAGGTAATAACTCATCCTACATAACATATCCATTATTTTCCATTAGCCCAATACTTGTTTTGGGGAGCAATACAAAACAGAAGTTACACTTTTCTGCTTTAGACAAAGACACATTTGCCAGTAGGAAGTACACAGAGCTTCAGACTTCTACTAAGCCTGACAAATCTCACTCAATTTGCCTAAAAATGCCAGTGAGGGCTGCGAATGTAACTGCAGCCCGAAACCGTGGGGGTGGGAAAGAGAAGAAAACCAGGGAAAAGTCTCACCTGCGGTGTGCCCATTTCGCTTCTGTGGTGAAGCTTCTGCCGCTGGGCCTCCAGGTATTCCTGGAATGGCTTCTGCAGAGATGGACCTATGCCGGGGACAGCACTGGAGGCATAGTACAATAACCCCAGGAAAAAAGACACATTTGGGAAGAAAAGCAGGAAAGAATGTTAAAGGAAAATCCACTTACCGCCTTGACTCAAAAAAGCAGGGATTAGACAGAAAGAGGAAAAAACCCAACAACAATCAGCAGAGGTGGCGAAATCCTGTGAACTGTTCCCAATGGATAAATATTCATCCTTTCCCAACCCCTTACAGGAGACAACTCTCTCCCACCAACATGTTTAAGAAGGAAATAGGAGCTGAGAGTCCCTTCCAGTAGAAGAGTTAGTTCTCAGAGTGAGGCGAGCTCAGCCGGCGCTGCACACTGGTGTGGTACAAAGAGCAAAATGAATGACTTCTGAGAAGTCTCACATTTATCACCACCAGTTCCTGTAAGAACTGGTTTGAACCGATTAATAAGGAAATGACTTATGCTTGTGTCATCCCTGGTTGAAAAAGAAACTGCCCGCCCTCTCACTGACTTGTCCCATCTTCTCAGAGGAGGCGGTCCTTTCTCAATCCAAGTCCTTATTAGGACAATCTGTGCGTCATCCTTATCCAAAAAGAATGCATTAGCAAATTTGGGAGGCACCTCCCACTAGTCAGAAGTCAGTGATTAACAAAGGAACAAAGAAGGAACTATGAACCTTGAATCACGTCGTGGTTTATGGTGGATGGCTTGTACAGAAACTACACAACATTACTAAACAACTTGTTCTGAGATGACTGGGATAGTGATCTCTGATAAGTTTATTGGCTCAGAGCTCCCTCTCCCCTAGAATGTGTGCAGGCAGTGCTGTTAAACCGGTTTGGCAACTGTAGTCACCGGGCTCCCGATTTAGAAATGCTTGCAGGCATTTTAAAAAAAACGGTAACTTGGGGCGACTTAGAAAACCAAACATCTCTACTTTCTATACCCTCTATTTTCTCATCTGTCATAACAGGGCTAAAAGCTAAACGAGCCCAGTCATTTTCCTGGGGCCAGCAAAGGGTATTTCATGTATTTGCAACAGTGCCTAAAGTATTAATGTCACCACCTTTCTTCTAGAACAATTTCAGTTGCTGCTTTCTCTAACAAAAAGCAGTACAGAAGAGAAATTTCTTGCTACTATATTTACCAGAGGGTAACAAATACATACTCCTGGCTGACACTTTTCCTTGATCCTGTTAATGATCAACCAACAAGCCCTTAATAGAGTCCTTATTTTATATCCAAACTGTAATTGGTGCTACGGGGAGAGACTAAAACTGCAAGAAGTGGTCTACGTCCAAGAACTCAAATCATTATTATATGGATGCAAAACATACTCGTGTGCACGCACGCATGCACACACACACACACACACATGTGAACTCATTTGCAAACAACAGAATTTATAAATCAGTAATAAATTTCTCAATTTTTTGGTAGAGAAGACACACTCCAAAGAAACTGAAGGGAGAAAAGAAAGACCAGTGTGGGGTGAAGTTGTTTAAAAAGTCCTTTAAGGAATACTGAAAGATGTGTAAAAATGCCTGAAGAGATATACGCAGCAGAGTCAATGACTGCACGGATGATTCCGAAAGGCCCATAAAACAGACCTCAAAGGCGGAGAGCCTCCTTCCCTCGCACAGACGCTGCGTGGCCTCACGCGAGCCTGGTAAACCAGAAGGGCTGTCTCTGAGCTCTGTTGTTGTTTTTCAGTAATGACTTTTCTACAAGTGAGCAACAACAGTGCAAACTTTCTCTTTAAAAGAAAGATTTTCCTCAGGTAGTTCTTTATATAATGCATAAAAGAATGCAAATAGCTCATCCACTTACACTTGAAATAAACCACAGAAATATAAAAAAATCCAATAAAATAAATGCATAAGAAGACTGGCTTTGAAGATTGCAGATTTTTAAGAACTTTCTTTCAGAAATTGATTCCTTTTGGGTTTTTTTGGCTGGTGCACAGCTTGCAGGATCTTGGTTCCCTGATCAAGGACTGAACCTGGCTCCACTGCAGTGAAAGGGCCAAGTCCTAACCACTGACCAACAGGGAACACCCAGAAATTTATTCTTTCACCCTTAATAACAATACCTTATATCATCATTTTAAACTCCCAAGGGTGGCTAGTTAAGAAAAAAACTTATTTAGTGAGATTGAAATGATTGTAGGCTTCTTTGAACAGCTAGGATGTACAAAGAAACAACTTTTGTTTCTTCAGACCTCTAACTTCAGACCAAAGTTAAGCAAAACTATGGCTTACAGTTTTCCTCAAATCATTCTTGGGCTCCAGGTCAAGTCATTATTTAAAGAGAAAATTAAGAATCAAGACCCAGTGTTAGAAAGGTTCTACTCTGCTGTTGTTGAGGGAAATGAGGAAAGGACTAGCAACAATCATTCTAAATTCCTTTCAAAATAACTGAAAAACATAAGTGATTTGCCATTATAAGTCCATTAAGGGCTACTCTTTTAGCTGATAGAGAATATATGTTTACATGATGTGTAACTTTCAAAGAATTTTCCTGGACTAATGAAGAGGTTAATTTTTCAAGGTGCTATGTTATTACATGCTTTAGAGTTTTGGGTGGTGGGAAGGGAGAGTCAGTTTTTCATAAGAGACTAGAAACACTTGAAAATAGAAAGAAGTTAAAAGTCTTTTATAGCAACATTTTGACCAAAACTTTTATGAAGAAGTGCCACATGATCCAAATAAATCTAAAAAGTTAACATATTTGAAATCTAGGTAATACATGTTACATAATGAATTTTAGTCAAGTCCTCAAGTTTTTAAATATATGCCTCAAAACCTTAGTTTTATTTTATTTTTTTATGTCTATAAACAATGGCTTAGGTCACACATGCCTCAGCTTATACAAAGCACTCTTATACTAGAGTTTTCTAAATTAACACTAAAGCTCTTTAAGTAATGGACTAGATAAAAACTGAAATTATAGCTTTTACTCTTAACATGCATTTAAGGAAAACAAGAATGCCATCCCCATGACCTCATCCCTCAAGTTATTTTCAAGCAGCAGAAGTAAGAGCCCATTCTAGGAAAAAGAAAAAAAAAAAGAGTCCATTCTGACATTCAGGATTAATTTAAGGTACACGCATGAAGAAAGGAGGGAGGAATAACTTGCAACACAGTTGAGTGTCTTTTTATTGTTGGCTTAGTAAATAACTTAAATGCCTTTTCTGAAAGCCATTAAATTCAGAGTACCTTGTGCACCTGGCTAAGGGCTTGCATCTCAACCCATGGTGGGTGGGTAAGATGCTGCAGTTAGGTGCTGATTGAATTCAAAGTATCAGAGTTACTCAATACTAGTTTCCCGTCAGTGGTTGTATTTAAATATACTTAAACTAGCCTTGTAAACAGCCATTTTCTCTAGGTGACAAAGCCTTAAAGAAAAAAGAAGGGAAAACAAAAGCAAGAATAAAATTAATCTCATCCACTTTTCCTTGCTGTAGAGACCTTCAACATGGTGAGTAAAAAAAAAAGCTGTGTGGACAGTAATATGTTGATATTTATTTCTTGACATACAAAAGCACTTTTCAGGTAATATAATCATGAAGAAACAAATTTCCAACAAATTATTTAAATGACAATTTTTGAACTTAATAAAGAAAGAAAGAAAGAAATCCTCAGAAAATGCAAACAGAAGAGGAGGAGAAAAGAAATCCACAGAAGTCTAAACCCACCCAGAGTTCAAAAGGAGTTTCATGGGAACAATATTCTGCATGCTTATATACCTAACTATATGTTAAAACAGAAACAAGACAAACTTCTCTGCAAAATTCTGTCAAGGGCCGTGATCAATACAAAAACAAAATCTATTATTTTTCTCTAGTTTTTAAAGCGTATGTAACTCCATTTTTGGAATCACTTATAAGAAACTTGTATCTTAAATTCTCCCCATATCAACTCATTATAAACAAAGGTCTGCACTGTGTTCCCACAAAAAGCCAGAAAAATCTTCCAGAGGAAGCATCACAATCAGCAGAGGTTGCATAGAGTGGGTGATGTGATTACTCTGGTTTTTCACAATGCTTACATTTTCACTTGTTGGTTGGTCATATACACCCATTCCAAAAATTCATAGGTCATTGTTATTCGGTTTTCAAGGAACTCCCTTCAAACTGTGTTACTTTCAAACAAACTGGTTCACTAGATGTAAAAAACATACCATTTGATTTACTTTGAATCCATCATGGACACAGTCATCAAACTAGCACTATTAAAAGACCTGAAATCTTCCTGTTTGGATTTTTCCAGCCAGATGTGTGTGTATTTTTTTTTTAAACTATAATTATTATTAAGTGCCATCATAAACCTGGGGCATAGTGCTTAGTAACACAAGAGTAACATAAACTTATAAAAAATCGGTTTGTCTTGTCTATTTATACAGTGCCCATGTGAAGGTTATGCAGTTGAAATGCCAAAGGGAATTAAACAGGTATAATTAAGTAAAGTTCTAACATAAGCTCTTCTTTCTTAACCACTTTTTTTGAAGACCTTAGCATTGATGTGATTGTGTATGTCGTATCATTGGCTTTCCAATATACTAGAAACTGACTGACGTGGATTCCAAGTAAGGCTAAAGGGCAATAAACCTTTGTTATTCAAGTTTTTAAATGTTTTAAAATTAAGAAACATTTCTTTAAACCTTTATTTCACTATTTGTGTAGTACTTTGAGGCTGATTTATTTAACATTCCTCTGATGATTAATTAGAATATCTAAATAACATTCTCAGGGTGTGATTGGTTAAACCACTGAAAGCTTATGAATGTGAGAAAATGACTTTAGAAGATACAGTTCAGGGGTAGTATTAAAAGAAAGGGAAAAGAAGAGTTTAATCAAGTCTACTGCTGCTCATAATAGTCTTTTGAAGTAGCCTGTTTTTTGATAGCACCAAAAGCAGCTTTTAAAGGCAGAGAAGCCTAGACCAATGGTCTGTGAACATTTCTGATATACGGATATTACTCATGCAAAGAGTAAATGTATAAATACAAATTTAAAAGGATAAAATATAGA